AAGTAGACTACACACCCAAATCCGTCGCATTGAGCCCAAAGCTTAAAACATTTGACGAGAAACTAAAACTGGTCAAAATCTTCGGAGAGATATTTATAGCAAAGCAATGATTAAAAACACCAGGAGACCACAAGCTGGTTTGGTTGTGAAAACCATTATAAGTGAGCTTGTTTATTATATTTGACATCGACCGCCGAGACCGCCGAGCCCATTTGTATTCACCTTTTTAGTGTATAAATGACGACCTAGTGCAAAAATGTATCTGGTGTATCTGGTATTACCTGTGATTGTGGAATGAGATAACAAATAGTTTACACCTGTATTTAGTGCCGTCCACTTGTAATTAAATCAGCCCAAACAGATGACAGATTAAAAAAACGGGTGTAAATTGAGTCTGTATCCAGCAAACAAGCTGCTGCTCTCATGGTGCAAACTATATGTGACCCTGGACCACAAAACCAGTCTTAAGTCGCTGGGGTATATTTGTAGCAATAGCCAAAAGTATGGGTTATGGGTCAAAATTATTGATTTTTCGTTTATGCCAAAAATCATTAGGATATTAAGTAAAGTCCATTAAGATTGATTAGTAATATGCATTGCTAAGAACTTAATTTGGACAACTTTAAAGGCGATTTTCTCAATATTTTGATTTGTTTTGCACCCTCAGATTCCAGATTTTCAAATAGTTGTATCTCGGCCAACTATTGTCCTATCATAACAAACCATACATCAATGGAAAGCTTATTTATTCAGCTTTTAGGTGATATATAAATCTCAATTTCGAAAAGTTGACCCTTATGACTGGTTTTGTGGTCCAGGGTCACATATAAGAATTGTATTGTCTTTTTTTCTCTCTTCTTCAATTAGACTATCCCTAAAGGAATTTCACTAGTAAGCCAGTCCTCATTCTCTTTGTTTATTCTGGAAGACTGGCTACACTTTGCTTTATATGGCTAAATTTGGGGGGAAATATATATTAATATAATATAATATATATATATATATATATATATAATTATTGCCAGTATTAATACAGCTAAACAATATGACTTCTTTAACTAGATTCATTGGCAAAATTTACAGTGTCACATTAAGTAATGCATTAACCAACACTAACAATGAGCAATACATTTGTTACAGTATTTATTTATCTTTATTAATGTTAATTATTAAAAATACAACAGTAACACTATTTTAAGGACCAATTCTCACTTTTAACTAACATGCATATTACTAGCATATTGGCTGTTTATTAGTACTTATAAAGCACATATTAATGCCTCAATCTTCATGAACATATTTTAAATCCTTTAATCATACAACATACTTAACTTAACAACTACCTTACTAGCCATTAATAAGCAGAAATTACGAGTTTAAATTATACAAAAGTCATATAGCTAATAGTTAGTTAATAGTGATAATTTGACCTTAAAATAAAGTCTGACTAATACGACTGCATTATTAAAGGGGTCATATATCCGCTTCGTCATGCCTAGAGCTGATCCGTGCTGGTCGCTGAGGAAATACATCAACTTCATGCTGTGGATCGTGGACTTTCACCATGGATGAAGCGGAGTCCAGCCCGGGGTCGTCACATGTGGTTGCTGCAAGCCCGCCGGCCATTCCTCACTCTAGCCCGCCGGCCGCGCCGTTGTCAAGCCCGCCTATTCAGATGTGTGCAGCGCATTTTATGAAGGACTGTTTCCTGATCCTCGGAGAGTAGACTACAATGCCAGCTCTTCTGACTCACATACTGCAAGTACGTTTTCATATTTAAAGGATTTGCCACTGATGATTCACCCCACTGGATGCAACAAATGCCTCGTTTGTAATGGGTTTTATTGGTGTTGTCTCATCACGCTGGGACACGGCATCACAGTATGGTAGGGGCGTAACATATCTGTCACACGCTTGAGTTATTCAGCCAATAACAATGCACTGGATAGCTGGCCAATCAGAGCACACCTCGCTTTTCAGACCGATGAGCTTTGTAAAAATCGA